ATCACGAGGGGGGTCTCGTTGGTGATGTGGTGGCATAGCTGTGTTTGAAGGGTGACCCTCCTATTCCCAGTTTCTTTATATAAGACGTTTCTAATCGTGTTCGTCCCCTTTCCCAGATAATGTAGGAGACGATGAATTAACGAGATAATGATGATATTAATGGAATTTTTAACAAGGATCATGTTACAAATGATAGATATTGAAAATCAGTTAAGAACCACCTGAGTTTGAATTCGTGGTCGTGCAATTTCACCCAGCAGATAATCCATTGAATTTATTCCGATTATTTAGTACTTTAACTAATTGTAACTAAATGCCTATCAAAATAAATAAAAGTCAATTTTGTTATTATAAAATAAATTATCTATTGATTTTTCTTGTTTTTATATTTACAATAAAATTTAATACTTTAAAAAATAAAATAATTACCTAAGGAAGGGTAACATCTCTTCGAACACTTTCTTCTTGTCAAAAAATTGTCGTATATGGCTTGCGTAAACATCATTGAATTCCTTTTTTATTTACTAATTTAATTAACACTTTTTACAATTAGGATTGAACACATTGAAGGGCTATGTGATCGGCGGCTTATAATGATGATGGGCTTGTAAGTCGGAATGAAATTAGTTTGTAAGGTTCCTTTGAAGGTAAGTATTTTCGCATTGGGTGGGCTATGTTTACGAAACGGGGAATCCAAACTTTTCGAAAAAAAAGTTAAGTATTTAACGGTGCGAAAAATTCTGAGAATTCTTCACAAAAAGTTGAATCTAAATAATAAATTTCTTTATTTTTTATTAAGAATCTTTATTTTCAACGATGTATAAAAAAATTAACTTGATTCTTTGGTTATTGGCGACCGTAATTCCTTTTGTAACTCTCGTTCAGAAAACTTGCGAAGAAACCTTTCAAGCGACCGAGTGTAGCGTTTGCCAAAAAACGGTATATGATGATGGCGCCTTATCTGTTTTCTCTGGCGTCACCCCATCATCTCAATGTCCAACAAATATTCATTTTGGCAACGTTATCTTTGAAGAGTACGGAAAAGCTGGTTTTGAAGTGTCCACGTATAACATTTCCACCTACGATCTCGAACCTTTTAAGTCAGCAGTGGATAAGTATTGCGTACTAGAGTATACATGTGATCCATCAGAAGTTGAACAAACCTTGGAAAAGCTCAAGACGGATTATGCCACTGAATTGTCGGCTCCTTTGGATTTAAGCGCTGATCCCAGAACGTTTGATGTCAATTCATTGATGGCTTACGGTACATTTCTCGCTTATTATGGTGGTATTCCTGCTCACGAAGCCGCTTGTCTCAAGAACGATAAAGGAGGTGCGTAGAAAAACTTTAAACAAATTTATATACGTATAACGTTGAAATGATTACGAGCGCTAACGATATTTTGGAACTTTTTTTTTTTTTTTTTATAAGAATCTTGTTTTATCGAAATTGTTCACTAATGTGGTTGAATTCGCCAAGAAAGAAAGTAATGGGGATACAAACGTTGCCATATCTCTTGATGGGAAGACCTTATTCCTACCCGATGGATCCACCAAAGAATTTTCAAAGGATTTGAATTGCGGTGAATGTTGGACTAAAATTGCAAACATTTACTTGACCTATATCGAAGCTCATCCAATGGATGAGCAACTTGAAACCAATATTTTCGGCGGTCCTGGTCAAATGAAAGAAGAACTTTCAGCTGCATGCGAGGATAGCACCGAGGATGAGGGAGTTGATGTTGTTGAAATGAGAGTTGAGAAGAGAGATTCTGGAGGTTCAACCAGGAAAAATGGTCGTATGTTCATACGCTCACTCTTGAGCGCAATTTGGTAGAGAAAATAGAGAATTATTATAGAAATTAATAGATCACTTTTATATTTATATTATATTTGTCCATATCAAATAATTGAAGTTAAATGACGTAATTAACGAGAAATTTAACCATCTTTGAGTGAAATGAATTAAATGATAAATTACATTTGAAAAATTTTTTTAAGTGCCGGCCAAGACGACAAAAAGAAGGAGAGGTGGTCAGTTAAAAACGAAGGGGGAAGGGATAAAAACCATAATCAATGGCTACGTGAGGGTCGATTTCTGCTAAATGATCATAATTTGAGTTTTAATTTTTTTTTTTTAATCTACAAAACTATGAATGTACCTATAGTTGCGGGGCAAAACCCTAAACCCATTTTGGCAAATGTCGAAACTTGTCAGAAATTATTTGACAGTTTCGGTTTCGATGGGTTTCGACGGGTTTCGATGGGGCTCGAAAGCTTCGATAACAACTTTGCGAATTTGACGGTTTAACAGGTTTATTGTATCACAATGTAGAACATAAAAATGAATTTGTTTTTTTCGCTTTCTATTTTAAATTAGAACAAAGTTTCCAAAATAATACATTATTTATCGAGCAGGTTTTAAATTTGAAAGCACTGGTAATTGTTGAAGAATTAGAAAAAATTACCTTATGAAGATGATGACATCAACTTCTTCATAAGGTAATTTTTCAACAAGTACCATCGTTTAGAGGTTGGAACCGGATTAATTTTTTATATCCGGATTTATTTAATTTTAAAAAATCGAATCCCGATTTAAATCCGAATTTCGAATCCAGTTCCAACCATCCTCTATATATTGATTTTTCAAATGAAAGTTTAATGGATGAAGAATACTGTCATGAGTTTAAATGAAGAAAATATGGAATATAAATGATGTAACTGAACTTAATTATCAATATGTAAATTTTGGATTTTTTTTTTATCCTTTATAAATATATTATAAAGAAAATGATCTTTGCTATATACAATTTGCTCATCTCGTTAAACAAAAATAATGAATTTTTAAATTCAAAAATTGTATTTTAATATCAGAAGATTGCGATGGGTTTTGCCATCCATCGAAACTTTTGCCACACGTCAAAACTTTCGCAATTTTGCCTTTAATAAAAATATTTGACAAAACGTTTCGACGGGTTTCGATTTCGATGTTGCCCCTAAAATTATTTGAAGATTGTATCGTTTTAAATGAATAAGGAATTGTGCATTGTAATTTAGTAATGTTATTATTTATTTATCATAGCATTCTGGCAATATATTATTTCATCGAGATATTATTAAACTCGCCGACTTTGGATAATCGAAAAGAATTGTTGCAGTAACTAATTAGTAAAAAAGTTTTTGGAGCAATTCCTTATATTGACCCAACATTATTTAACAAACGAAGAAATGACAATACACACCACAATTTAAACTTAACGAAAAGAGAGACGTTACAATGTTAAGTTACCCTTATGAGAGAAATCAAGTGGTCATCCTCCAATTTATTCAGCTATAGAAATTTTACGAGGACTAGTACATCTGAAGAATAAGTATTCAAATAATTAAATTAAATGCAACTATTACGAAAACGAACGTAAAGAAAATATTCAATCGAATCAAACTTCTTGATCAGAAAATTCATCAAAAGTTTATAACTGGTATAATGATTTGCGCGCATTCATCACGTGCAAGTTTTCACTTAATTTTGTAATCTTGCAGTCAAAATCGTTTAAAAAAAATACTTTTTTAATGATTAATAAATCCTTAGATGGTTGCCATAATCTGTTCATGATTTTCGTAAATTGACAAACCGGAACACCAACGAATTAAGCTGTAAACATATATATACCGAACACAAACTCGAACTTCATTTATGATTAGGCTAAGATCATTCGTCTAGGTCGATGATTCATTAATGTACAAGTAACTAATGGTTGTTTTTTCAGAAATCAGAACACGATTCTCATTTTTTAAAAAAAAATTAATTCCCATTGGGACATTTATTAAATTTGTTGTAATTTTGTCTATTTATTTATTTATTTATTTTTATGAAATTCTTTCATATTTTCTATCGACTTAAAACAAAACGACAAAAAATAAAAAAAAATGATCGTTTTCGAAACATCAAAAACTCTGAAATAAACTTTCATACATACATAAATAGAGATTTAGCCATTATCAAAATTTTTGAAATTGTTAAAAAATATTATTTGATTTATTAAGCTGCTTTTGCAATAAAACAACAAAATTAGATGTACCTGATTGTACAGAGCATTGACATTAAGGAAGCACTGTAGTTTAAGATCTTTGCTATTCTTAAATAAATAAAGTTTATAATTCATAATCTCGACACTTCACAAAAACCCGACGTTCAGGAATACGTAATCTTGCCTATCAAGAATCCCAACAGGTCAAGATTAGATGGCGATGGTTTAATTAGAGTCATTGTAGAAATTTGGGATAGAGTATTCGAGGGTGTATTCGAGGGTTATATCTTTACAATAAGGTTTATGATGACGGGATTCTAGAATATCGGGATTATTGTTTTCGGGATTTCGTTTTTCCAACACTATATGATTTGTTCATTTTCTTTGCTTTTTCCTTTTCAGATCTCGTCGATTTACTTCTTTTTGTAGTGTGTCTTACTCCAATCGTTGCCGCAGCCAACATACTTGTAAGTGAAAACTCGTCATCCTGTTCTTTCATTCGCAGGAAATTAGGAAAAATCAAAGAAAAAACCTATAAAAATTAAATTTATATTAAAAAAAATCCCAATCGCGAAGTATTGTTTTGATTTGGAGAATTAATTTAATAAGTATGAAAAAAATCTTCTACATTTAGGGAGGGATGGCATAGATATCCCAATCCGTAAATATTCGTTGCGATGACACTAAAATAAATAATAAATATCTTCTTTTTTTTTTAAAGAAAAAAAAAAAATAAACTGCAAAAATTATTGTCCTAAATCACATACTACGGTAAGATCTTTCATACCTAACAATATGTATCACCGACTGAAGACGGTAACTATCTCTATTTAACTTAGTATTTTATTTTCTATAAACATTTTAAATTTAAAGTAATGCATATCCTTATATCGAATGGTGTGGATTTGTTAATCAGGTATTTGTTCCTTATTTTAAGGTCCATCCATAAATCCATAAAATATTGCAATATAAAATAATTGTTTAGTGATTAAGGTTGCGTCATTACCTTAAGGTTTCGCGAAATTATATAGTTCTAATTATTGTTGTATTCAGTTGTTTCGTTTAAACAATTTTATTCGTAGCCGAAGGATTTAATTGAATAAAATGAAGTAATTGTTGCATCAATTAATCAATGTTGCCTCACAATGTCAATATATTAAACTAAATAAATGCTGAATCACTAACAATACTAATTAATTAAAACTACGCAAAAACAAAAATTTAAAATAACGAAGTTACTAATTAAATTTATAAAATTTATGAGTTAAAATGGCGGGTATTCTAAAATAAAGTTTATTAATATTAATAATAGTTATAAAAAACGATCTTACTTCATTGAAATAGGCATCCAATTCGTTTCAAAATTCATCAAAATTAGTTCCCTTGAGTCCTTGTTTACTCTAAGATCTACGGTAATATTGGATCTTGTAATTCTAACACCTTCTTCTAATTCTTTTGAAATAGTGTTTGGTGATACAGTAACATCTCATGTGAGATCATGAAATAGTTGACGAAGCAATACAGGCGAAACAGTTTTGATTAAGGAATACTAAATAAAAATATAAGTTTCGTTAATAATGCTTTAAAATAAATCAAATAACCAACAAAAATTATCTTTCAACATTTTTTCGCATTTCTCTTGAAAAATATTGTGCAATAATATCACAAATTGCCATCATTTCTTGTGCATTTTTTGTTTAAGATCGATCATTCCAATCATTTGAAAATTTTCACTAAAAATTTCGGGTTGATTCAATTTAAAGATATTTATTATTATTTTTTTTTGTAAATATTGCATAAATAGTAAGAGGATTGCACCTAACCAGAAGTTCAATACCCCCAAAAAGAGCGTGTTAAACAATATTTTTCATTTAATTTAAAAAGTATGATTAGTTAGAACGAATTATTTCTTTCATCATAATTTTTTGAGAAAGAATGCATCAACATATTTGAAAACACCCTGAATCTATATAGACAACGAGAATTTAAGTAATGCAGATAGAGTTAGAGGTTATGGAATCCAACTTCTAACACACAGTCAAGTTAAACGGCAAAAGACATTATCAGGATTATTAAAAAAAATTGACAAATAAACCCAAAATAAATAAAACGAAAATTGGTAGTCACGGTGTGAAATATAATTTTTCAAGTAAAGCTTTTTGAATTTTTTTTTTAAACAAATTTATAAGTTTAACGGTTACTTATGCATGAATAAATTTTTGACAGATCATTCATCTTGAAAGTACTTAACGTTGCTATTTTGTATTAATTTTATAAATTAAATCGTACACGACGAAATTTGAGGTATCAGATATACCATCGATAAGTGTGCCGAATCTTTAGCATTTCTGAACAACAATTACGATTTTAACGACTCCGACTTTGATTATATTGATTTAGATGAGAATTATTTTAGACAAAGATTTTTGAATTCATTTTTGTAAATTCTATGATTTCAAAAGTCAAAAATAATCGTTTTAAACCGCACGTTGATCGAACATAATCATCCATATTATCTTGACTTAAGAAATATCAATTTATTATACACTAATCACGTGAAAACATCGAAATTGTTTTGAAGAAAAATATGACGAAAAACGGTATTAATAATTAGGATCTTTTGTCGAAATGATCTAAATAATCTTCACTTACATTTATTGTCACATTTATCTTTCGAATAAAATTATAAATTTTATGTTTGAAGTATGTTTACAATATCTATCGATTAATAAAAAAAATTAATTTGAAAATAACTACTTTGGAATGATCGGCAAAAATCACGTTACCGAAACAAATTGATCAACCAATCAAATTCCTTCTCGTTGTTTATAAAATAGTGCGTTTTCTCGAGTAAACTCATTTTTTTTTTTTCACTCGCTCCCCTTTTTATAAATCACCAACATAGATGTACCGTTTAATCACTTCTTAATTTTTGTTTTGCAAATATTCCTTTTTGTATATAGATAAATAACATTAAATTAGAGTAGTGGGAAGACAGAGTTACGATACTGAACTTTATAGCGAAATTTTTCTAGGATAGGCTTTTTATTTTATAAACATTCTTTAAATTTTACATAAATATAAGAGGCTTGTGTGTATTGAAAACTAGAAATGATTTGTGTATAAAGGGCTGTGTACTGGGTTTGCTTTTTCGTTCTTTTGTTTTACGCGTCACTTTTACTTATGCGTGCGTTCAATTTTTTTTAACTGGATTGGATAAACCCTTTGGATCGTAAATAACAAACTTTATTGGAAGATGTGTAGACGTAATTTCTGTGAACTGGATTTGCCATGTCTTTGGTTTGTGTTGTATTAATTTCTTTATATACTTAAGCGTTATTTGTGAAATAATCAATAGCTAATTGGTGATAATAAGGCACAGTATATAAGATGATATTGTATAATGGAACAAATTTTTGTAAGACAATTCTCTGGATCGTGAAATTAAGAAATAAGAGTCTTGATTGTATATTATACGAAATTATTTGCGGGCCGATTTGCTATTCCTTGATTATTTTTTTTTTGCTTTAAGTTGTTTTATTTACTTTACTAACGCGTCTAATTGCTTTAACTACCAGAAACAATGGAAAATTTCAATACTAATTGTATGAGAGATTTTAGAATTGTAAATTGGTTGGAATAAAATAATTAATGGATGATATATAATATTAGATGATGGAAATATTAATGGTTGTGAGATGATGAGATGTTGGGGAGATGATAGAGATGAATAAAGATGATTGACAAAAATTTCTGTGGATCGGGTTTGCTATGTATTGGTTATTTTTTTTCACATTTTTTTATAAGATATTAACGCGTTTAATTGCTTTGACTGGACCGGAAAACCTTTGGAACGTATAAAAATGGAAAAATTTGAGAGTGATTTGGAAAGTAAATTGGAACAATTAATGGATAATATATAATTTTATGAATTGGGAAAGATTGAGATATGTAGTATTGATGGATTTTGAGACGATGGAGATATGGTGGGGAGATAATATAATGATTGACAAAATTTCTGCGGATCGGGTTTGCTTTTGTATTGCTTAATTTTTGCTTTTATTTTACATCAATATTTTACTAATTCCTCTAATTGCTTGCTTTACTGGACTGCTCTACCTTTGGAACTTACTACAATGGAGATTTTTCTATATATAATGTGTATCAATGTTTGGTTTGACTGGATTTGACTGGTGAATAATATAATATATAATATTTATAAATTGGGAATGATTAGATATGTAGTATTAATTAGTTGTGAGATGATGGAGAATGTAATTGTTAGACGATGAAATGGTGGGGAGATGATATAGATGATTGACAAATTTTCTGCGGATCGGGTTTGCTTATGTATTATTATTATTTTTTTTTTTTTTGCATTAATATTTTACTAATGCGTCTAATTGTTTTACTGGATCGCGCTACCTTATGATCATGTAACAATGGAAATTTTTCAATATCTAATGTGAATAATTTATAATTTTAATTTGGTTGACTGGATTTGATTGGAATAATTAATGGATAATATATAATATTTATGAATTAGGAAAGATTAAGATATGTAGTAATGGATTGTGAGACGATGGAGATATGTAATTGTTAGACGATGAAATGGTGGGGAGATAATATAGAAGATTAACGAAAATTTCTGCGGATCGGGTTTGCTTTTGTATTGGTCAATTTTTGCTTTTTTACATCAATATTTTACTAACGCCTAATTGCTTTACTGGATCGTGCTACCTTTGGGTCATGTTACAACTGAAATTTTTCAATATCTATGTATATCAATGAGAGTTATTTATAATTATAATTTGGTTTGACTGGATTTGACTGGTGGATAATATAATATATAATATTTATGAATTGGGAAAGATTAGATATGTAGTATTAATTAGTTGTGAGATGATGGAGAATGTAATTGTTAGACGATGAAATTGTGGGGAGATGATATAGATGATTTACAAAAATTTCTGCGGATCGGGTTTGCTTTTGTATTGCTTAATTTTTGCTTTTATTTTACATCAATATTTTACTAATTCC